CCCACTTATATGGAAAAACACGAGAGTGTCTTGTAGCTAAGGAAAAGGCCAGCAAGATCAGAGCTGTAGCGGACGTTGGAGGACCGAACCCATGAATATGGAAAATACGAGAATGACTTGTAGCTACGGGAAAAGCTAGCAAAATTCCTTCCATTTTAGAATGGTTTTATTTTTTCAAAAAAAAAAAAAGAATATTTAAAATGAATATTCCTATTTTATGAATATTCCTATATAAATTTTATTATTATTATTATTATTATTAATTTAGTTTTCAAAATTAATATACATATTTTTTAAAATTTATATTGATTTTAGAATTTCACGAATTTATATGTTTTTTTTAATGTGAAAATTATTGGAAATGAAAAAGTTTTAATTTAGTTTAATTAAATAGAGAAAGTTGTCAATATTACCGAAAAAAATAAAATTTAAATTTCAACGATAAGAAAATATTATTTTTGAAAATTTTCGGTGACTTGCACTCTGAGTGGTGCAGTTGAGCTAGAGTAGGCTTAATAGTCGACCTATATTTCCTTCTCCAGATGAGCTGGGAGATGGGATAGCCCGCACGTACCCGAGCATCTTGGGGACAATATGTATAGCTAAGTTGATAAAAGGGGACAACTCAACTAGCAATTTGTTAGCCGGCCGATGGCTCTCGTATTCACAAGCTTTTAAGGAATGAAATATTTTGAGGGACAAAAGAGTAAATTTAGTGGGCTGAGTATTGAGCTTTCGGCCTACACTGTAGTGGTCCATGTAACGAAGCCCACGGCATCACTAGATTCTGTTTGGCCCAATACTGTATGAATAGGCCCAAGCGCGTGGGAGAAGCCCGGTCTGCGAAGCCGCCACAATCCACGACACGTGCCTAAGTTGTCCCAATGCGTGCGAGCCGACTCGAGTTGGCTTCAACGGCTCGACCATGTTGTCGGCTCGCAAATGGCAAATGGCAATGCTACTCTTTTGTTTCATGAACCTGAAAGCAAATCGAGTCAGTTTAGGTTCAGAAAAATGAACCCAAACCAACTCGAGAAGCTAATCCAACCCAACCAAACTCTTATAGTTTGGGTTGGGTTAGCCCAAGTTGTCGGGTTGTGAATGTACACCCCTAGCTACTAGAGATGTGCATAGAGGAAGTAGAGATTCCCGACCGAAAATTTGTGGGGATCGAATTTACGATGAATAATTTAATTATTCTTTTTAAAAATATATTTATTTTAAAGTTTTTATTAAAAAATTACTAATAAATGGATAATTATTTTAAAAAATTACTAATAAATGGATAACCAAATTTTAGTTTAAATATTAAAATTAAGATCTCAAAATTAACAATTTTTTTTAATACAACCCATAAGTGAGTATATATATATATTAAGCGAGGTGGGGACCGAGAATATAATCTCATCTCCGGACCCATTTATTTAATGGAAAAAATATTATCCACTCTCTCCCTCATTTCCGATCTAAATGGGGAATCCCCTCCTCATTCGAGGTGGTCCCGAAAATGAACATTTTTAGCTGTTACAGTAATTATGTAATTAAGGATAGAAAAAGTCAGTATAGCTACGATTTTGAAAATTAATAATATTTAACACGATTTATGATTAATTTTAACATAATTAAATACGGGTTTTATGTATAGGTTATGAACTCGATTTTCTAAATAGATAGAATATCGTAGGTCTAGATCACGTGAAACATGTGAACGTTTGACTAAGGCAAACTTAGAACCACCAATTTGAGCATGAAATAATAAATGAACTCGTTGTTTGAATACATACGTATTAGTTGGATGAAACCGTTGTGACGTGATCTCGACTGACTTAATGGACATCGACCCATAGACTACCAAACTATTACTTTAATAATGAGGTAAGAATTAAAATCTCGAGTTTCTCGTCGGGTCTCAATTATAAAATTTCTCCCATATTTTGATAGGAGAGCACATGCCAAGGAGAAACATCATAATAATTACCATATAATAATAATAATAATAATATGATTATTATTATTATTATTACATATAATAATAATGGTTTATGACTCATATAATTATAATTTATAAATTTATAAATTAATTTTAGAAAATATGATTTGTGGGGAATTACTAACGTGATGTGTCATTGTCACACGTGTCAACGAGTCATTTGTCAAATTTATTGTAAGTTTCATTCTTGCTTTAAACATTCACGTTGTTTTTTTTCTTAATATATATTTATAATAAAATTTATAAAATTATCTTATAAATAAATATTTTTCATTTTTTAAAATTATTTTTCTTTTCTTAAGTTAACCAAATTAATTCGAAACAAAAAGTTAAAAAATTAAAAATTAAAAATTAAAAAATTGGGGTTTTTTTTAATTATTATTTAAAATGTTTCTTCAAAATAAATATAAAAAAATATATATATGAGATCCCAAATGGATTGGAAGAGGGAACCAAACATTTTTTAAAAGGGTGTGGAAACTTCACCGAAGAAGCGTTTTAAACCCGTGA